GAGAACTCATTTCAACTGCTAGCTCTGAAGGCTCTCGGTTAATTAACAGATGTCTTCAATTCTTGGTTTTTAGGTATGGAAACGGCTTCCCTATGGCTCAGCTGGTAAAGAATCAGCCTGAAATGCGCGAGACCTGGGTTCAATCCCTGGGGAAGGGAACGGCTATCCACCACAGTACTTTGGTCTGGAGAATTCCATGGACTGTATAGTCCATGGGGTCGCAAAGAGTTGGACACTACTGAGCGACTTTCATACATGGAAAAGAGGTGTGAAGTGGAAGACAGTAATGTCACAAATATAAAAAAAAAATCCTCAGGAGAAATGTCTCTGGAACCACAGGCTGGTTCCCCATAACCTCCTTTTTCTTTCTCCCTCTCCTACTAATAAAGAATCTCTCTCTACTTCCAATCCACTGACTTTAGAACAAGGTCTCTAATTTTTCTCTCATAACCTTCTACCTTGAAGAAGTATTGTATATGGTTCTCTGGATACTGTTTCAGTTTTATTGTCCTTAAACAGTACAGATAAATAGGGTTGAATAAATGCTATTTTTTTCAACTTAATTTTTATTTTGTAGTTGATAGAAAATGTTGTGTTAGTTTCAGGTATAAAGAAAAGTGATTCAGTTATACATTATCTACTCTTTTACAGATTCTTTTCCTGTTAAGGTTATTACAGAATATTGAATATAGAGTTTCCTGTTCTATACAGTAGGTTGTTGCTGATTATAGATTTTATATATCTTAGTGTGTATGTGAAAAAAGGCTATTTCAATGTCTTTCCTCTAATCTCTTCATGTACCATAGAAAAGGGCAAAGTGGACCTGTATATTTGAGCACAAATGAGACTTGAGAATAAAATATATCTGTATTTTTAAGGAAAACTAATTTGAGGTAATGCTGAATGAATCCCAGGGCCCACTACTGGGGGTGGGAAGAGGAGCTGTAGTGAGAAAAACAAAAAGAAGAATGGGACTAACTATGAATTTATTCTTTTTTTCTCTCTGCTCCCATTTTACCACATGGCCACGCATGCTGCTCTCACAGATACCTCCAGACTCAGTCCAGGGAAGAGTGAATCCTCTAGTCTGTTGCTATGTTCGGAAAAAGAGATAAGAAAGGGAGAAAGTGTACCACAAATGTAGTAATTGAGACTATCCTTCTATATTATGAATAACTGTGTTATCCAACAGCTGTTAAGGTACTTGTGGAATCTACAAAAAGGTACAAAATAACTTATCTACAAGACAGAAATAAGAGTTACAGATGCAGAAAACAAACTGACGGCTGCTAGGGGCTAAGAATAGCAAGGAGAGATAAGAAAGCCTTCCTCAGTGATTAGTACAAAGAAATAGAGGAAAACAACAGAATGGGAAAGACTACAGATCTCTTCAAGAAAATCAGAAATACCAAGGGAACATTTCATGCAAAGATGGGCTCAATAAAGGACAGAAATGGTAGGGACCTAACAGAAGCAGAAGATATTAAGAAAAGGTGGCAAGAATACACAGAAGAACTGTACAAAAAGGATCTTCACGACCCAGATAACCACGATGGCATGATCGCTCACCTAGAGCCAGACATCCTGGAATGCGAAGTCAAGTGGGCCTTAGGAAGCATCACTGCAAACAAAGCTAGTGGAGGTGATGGAATTCCAGTTGAGCTATTTCAAACCCTAAAAGATGATGCTGTGAAAGTGCTGCCTTCAACATGCCAGCAAATTTGGAAAACTCAGCAGTGGCCACACAACTGGAAAAGGTCAGTTTTCATTCCAATCCCAAAGAAAGGCAATGCTAAAGAATGCTCAAACTACCGCACAACTGCACTCATCTCACATGCTAGTAAAGTAATGCTCAAAATTCTTCAAGCCAGGCTTCAGCAATACATGAACTGTGAACTTCCAGATGTTTAAGCTGGTTTTAGAAAAGGCAGAGGAACCAGAAATCAAATTGCCAACATCCACTGGATCATCGAAAAAGCAAGAGAATTCCAGAAAAACATCTATTTCTGCTTTATTGACTATGCCAAAGCCTTTGACTATGTGGATCACAATAAACTGTGGAAAATTCTGAAAGAGATGGGACTACCAGACTACCTGACTTGCCTCTTGAGAAATCTGTATGCAGGTCAGGAAGCAACAGTTAGAACTCGACATGGGACAACAGACTGGTTCCAAACTGGGAAAGGAGTATGTCAAGGCTGTATACTGTCACCCTGCTTATTTAACTTATATGCAGGGTACATCATGAGAAATGCTGGGCTGGATGACACACAAGCTGGAATCAAGATTGCTGGGAGAAATATCAATAACCTCAGATATGCAGATGACACCACCCTTACGGCAGAAAGCGAAGGACTAAAGAGCCTCTTGATAGTGAAAGAGGAGAGTGAAAAAGTTGGCTGAAAGCTCAACATTCAGAAAACTAAGATCATGGCATCTGGTCCCATCACTTCATGGCAAATAGATGGGGAAACAGTGGAAACAGTGGTTGAGTTAATTTTTTTGGACTCCAAAACCACTGCAGATGGTGACTGCAGCCATGAAATTAAAAGACGCTTACTCCTTGTAAGGAAAGTTATGACCCAACCTAGACAGCATATTAAAAAGCAGAGACATTACTTTGCCAACAAAGGTCCATCTAGTCAAAGCTATGGTTTTTCCAGTAGTCATGTATGGATGTGAGAGCTGGACTATAAAGAAAGCTGAGAGCTGAAGAATTGATGCTTTTGAACTGTGGTGTTGGAGAAGACTCTTGTGAGTCCCCTGGATTGCAAGGAGATCCAACCAGTCCATCCTAAAGGAAATCAGTCCTGAATGTTCATTGGAAGGACTGATGTTGAAGCTGAAACTCCAATACTTTGGCTACCTGATGCGAAGAGCTGACTCATCTGAAAAGACCCTGATGCTGGGAAAGATTGAGGGCAGGAGGATAAGGGGATGACAGAGGATGAGATGGCTGCATGGCATCATCAACTCAATGGACATGAGTTTGGGTAAACTCCGGGAGTTGGTGATGGACAGGAAGGCTTGGCGTGCTGTGGTCGATGGGGTCGCAGAGTCAGACACGATTGAGCGACTGAACTGAACTGAGGGGATAAGGAGGAGAAGGGATAAATTGGGAGACTGGGACTAACACATACACACTACTATATATAAAACAAGTAACTTATAAGCACCTACTGTATAGCACAGGGAACTCTACTCAGTACTCTGTAATGGCCTATATAAGAAAAGAATCTAATAAAGAGTGTATATATATATATACACCTATAGCTGATTTACTCTGCAATCCACCTGAAACTAACACAACATTGTAAATCAACTATACTTCAATAAAAATTTTCAAAAATTAAAAAAAAAAGAAAGGAAAAGCTTCTTGGGCCCATCTTTTTTTTAAGTGGATAAGGAACCATTTTAATGACTATTTAGAAAATGATACCTCTAAAGTTTGCAGGTGTTCAGTTTTAGTATTCTGATAAATCTAATTTCTCACAGGCAGGTCTAAGGTTTCAGCTGGATCCCAACTCCAACAAGTAGAATTCTGAAGTAATGGAGTCTGATTACATGATGTATACTACTGTATGCTAGTACTAGTAGTATATGTACACTACTGTATACTGTATTACATGAGGTATACTATTCTTATACTACCCATTTAAAAATAACTTCAAGCTTTTAACAGAGAGCTGCTTTTACTGAGAGCAATGTTAATCCTGCATGACCTCTGTCATTTAGCCACATAAGATACTAGTTTTCCAAAGCTCCAGTTTCAGAATAAATGTAGAGTTATCACTCTTTTTCAAGGATAATCTTTCTTCTGATGTCCAATTCAGTTATTCCCATCTCTCTTATGAATTTTCATCTTTTTTCCACCACAACACTCATTTTACTTTTAGGTTTAGTCAACCTTAAAGACTATTGATTCAAGTAACTCTACTTCTCATTCCATTTTCAACTGGGATTCTCAAAATTCTCCATTTAAAAACTGGCTATTCTACACTCAGCTGTTCTACAGCCTTCATTTTTCTATTGAAACTGTGCACTTTAATGGTTTTTTCTTGGTTCTTATTCTTCTTGACCTTCTTATAGACCTCCTTCCTGATACTCCTGGGAACTTTCCCCTCTTCCTTTTTCAGGAGCACTAAATAAAAAGTTCTGTCTTACTAACTTTTCTTTTTTAAAAATCTGTAATCCTTGCAGGCTCTTTTCTGGTCATCTAATTGTGGGACAAAGTATCCTTGGCCTCACAGTTCTTCTCTCTTCCATGGTGAACTCAATCAGTTTTAAGGATTATTGTGAGTAACTCAAAAAAATCCGTATCTTTAATCTTGATTTGAATTTTCAAGGGCTTAGTATATATTAGTTTAAATTGATAAGAGCAACTGCAAAACACTACTATTTTTTAAAACAGTATTTCCTTCATGCTGGCTAGCTCTTGTTTCTGTTAACACATGACAAATTCATTCACACTGTCCTGGAAGTGTCATTCCTTCATGCTGGCTATTTCTTGTTTCTATTAACACATGACAAAGTTATTCACACTATCCTGGATGCGTCACAGTCATAACCATTTTTCTCCCTTAATGTACACTGATCCGTATCTGGGATTAAGTTTCCCTATCTTCTGTAGTGTTCTACATTCATTATGGTTGAGCTTAAATACCATTTCTTCTGTGAGGGCTTCACAAAATATTGAAGACTGGGGTGACTTCTCCCTCAATCTCTATAGTTTTTAACATGGCATCTGTATTATTTTTTCTAATTATTTTGTATTAATCTCCTGGAAGGAAAGGTAGTCAAATGTAGGCTATATATGCTAAATAAATGAGTAAATAATTTGACTTAAAAAAAAGGTTCTTATGAAGAACTGTAAAAAATGTATGTTAGTGACTCTCATACTGTCTCCTGCAGCTCTCTCTCTCCTGGTCTGCGTAACAGATGGGACTGCAATAGTGACACTTCAAACTAAAAACAATGATTTGAACATGAGAATACTGTACCTTTAGGCCCTTTCCCAGGTGTGGGCTCTACAGTAGTTTTGCTCCATATGAGTATCACTCCACCTGAGTCTCCAGCAAGAACATCTCCATTTCCCAAGAAAGCTAAACACTGCACAAATTTTGGTTTTTCATACTTCTACAATGAAACAATGAGAATTTTCAGTTTGTCCCTTTGGCTTGATGACTTTATGCTTACTCAAAATTCAAGTTCTATAATGAAGTTGTAACATTCTGATCCTTACCCCAAAAACTCCCTGTTTTTTCGTTAGTGAATTGCCATTCCAGGTCCAGAAAAAAATATGTGATTTACCACATGTTATTATGATATTTGCATCTGTTGGATGGAATCCCACAGCCAAAACAACTTCATTTGTTGTCTGTGAAGAGAGAAATATAGCTTAAATGCATGTATATCCTTATCTTCATTAAATACCAGTTACAGGTCCTGATAATCAAAGACACGGAATTTTAATTTTTGGCCATGCCACACATAGCATGTTGGAGCTCAGTTCACTGACCAGGGAATCAAACCTGTGACCCCGGCAGTGGAAACACAGAATCTTAACCACTGGACCATCAAGGAAGTCCCAAAGATAGGGAAAATTTTTAAGGAAATGCCTTTTCTTCCAATGTCTATTTTCCTGAAAAAACTTAATAGATTTTTAGAATAAAATGGTTTAAATTTGATGTCCTTATCTTATTATATCATCTTTTATGCCATCTATATATAATAACTCTGCACTAAAAAGACATTTACACAAGTTACAGTTTTAATTTCTTGCACATTCAGGGAAAAGAACACTAAAACTAGCAAATGAAAGAGCAATACAAATTCTGTCTTAAAGACACTGCCATTCTGGTCTTAAAAAAAAACTCAGGTTTTATACTATTACTATTGATCATTCATTCAAGAAAACATTACTGATTTAGAGATTCATCCTCAGACTGAAGGCTGAATGGTCACTATAGATTCCTATAGAATGTAAAATCAAACAAACAAAAAACCCCAAAGAGCTTTTATCCTCTTTCCACCAAAAAACCTAAGAAAGGGACCTAGTTAAACTTAGAAGCTTTTGCACAGTAAAGGAAACTATAAACAAAATGAAAAGACGACCCACAGAAAGCGAGAAAATCTTTGCATACGATTCAACCAACAAGAGATGAATCTCCAAAACAGCTCAGTCTCCAGCAAAGAAATGAAAAAATGGGCAAAAGATCTAAATAGACTTTTCTGCAAAGAAAACATACAGATGGCCAAAAGACACAAGAAAAGATGTTAGATATTGCTAATTATTAGAGAAATGCAAATCAAAACTATAATGTGGTATCACTTCACACCAGTCAGAATGGCCATCATCAAAAAGTCTATAAATAATAAATGCTGGAGAGGGGGTGGAGAAAAGGGAACCCTCCTATACTGTTAATGGGAATGTGAATCGGTAAAGTCACTATAGAAAACATTATGGAGATTCTTAAAAACCTAAAAACAGAACTACCATATGATCTTTTATATATATATATCTCCCACTCCTGGGCATATATCCAGAAAAAAACGTAATTCGAAAAAATAGATGCACCTAATGTTCACTGCAGCATTATTTACAATAGCCAAGACATGGAAGCAACCTAAATGCTCACTGACAGATGAGGGGATAAATAAGGTGTGGTACATAAATACAATGGAATATTACTCAGCCATAAAAAGAAATGAAATAATATCATTTATAGCAATATGGATGGGCTTAGAGATTATCATAGTAAGTCAGTGAGGGGGGCCTTCCCAGGTGGCTCAGTGGTAAAGAATCCAACTGCCAAGCAGGAGATGCGGGTTCCAACCCTGGGTGGGAAGATCCCCTGGAGAAGGAAATGGCAACCCATTCCAGTATTTTTGCCTGGGAAATCCCACGGACAGAGGAGCTACGGTCCATGAGGTTGCAAAAGAGTCAGACACAATTTAGTGACTAACCAACAAAAACAACAGAGTCAGACAGAGAAAGACAAGTATCAGATGATATCACTTAAAAGTGGAATCTAAAAAAATGATATTAATGAATTTTATTTACAAAACATAAACAGACTTATAGTAAACAAACTTACAGCTACCAAAGGGGTAAGGGATAAATTAGGAATTTGGGAGTAACATATACACACCACTATATATAAAATAGATAAAACAATATGGACCTACTATAGAGCACAGGCAACTACATTCAATATTTTGTAATAACTATATTGGAAAAAGAATCTGAAAAAGAATATATACCTGTGCGTATATATGTATGTGTATACATATGTTTGTGTATATGTGTGTGTGTATAAAAAAACTGAATCACTCTGCTATGTACCTGAAACTAATACATTGGAAATCAAGTATACTTCAATAAAAAAAGAAATATATAAAAAGCACACTACTAAGGATGTAATGTAAAACATATTATTAACATTGCTGAATGCTACATACAGAACTTGTAAGGAGAATTCTCATCACAAGGAAAAGGATTTGTTCCTATTTCTTTTATTTTCTATCTATATGAGATGATGGATGTTCACAAAACTTATTGTAATAATCATTTCATGACAAATTTAAGTCAAATCATTATGCAGTACATCTTAAAGAGGGCTGTATGTCAATTATATTTCAACTAAACTGGAAGGAAAAAAGGAAGAAAAAGGTAATACGTTAACAACAAAGCAAAATTAGTCATCTCTCTTCCAGAATCAGAATCTTTAAAAGACTGATTGAAGAGTCCTTAGCTTTCATGCCAACAAAACTACCTGACAGATCTTATGCCAAACTGATTAATCAAAGCTAACTATAAATACTCCCCGGGCTTCCCTGCTGGCTCAGACGGTAAAGAATCTGCCAGCAATGCAGGAGACCTGGGTTCGATCCCTGGGTCAGGAAGATCCCCTGGAGAAGAAAAGGGCAACCCACTCCAGTATTTTTGCCTGGGAAAGCCCATGGACAGAGGAACCTGGAGGGCTACAGTCCATGGGGTCGCAAGGAGTTGGACACAACCGAGCCACCAGCACACACTGGTATAAATATTTCTAAGTATACACACCCACAGTTCTAGTGGTATGTTCAAGATATAAACTGAAGTAATCTATGAGAATACATCACTTGGGTATTAGTGTAGCTTTATAGGATATTTTAACTTTTTATTAATGTATACTATATAATCAGAAAAGTTCACAAAACCTAAGTACACAGTTTGATAAATTCTCACAAATGGAACACATCTGTGTATAGCATCTAAAGCAAGAAACAGAACATTACTAACATCCCAGATCCCTCTTCTAGTTATTATCCTCTCCCTCCACTGAAATAACCATGATCCTGATTTGCAGCAGCAAAGATTAGCCTTGTCTGTTTTATTTAAGTGGAATAACAAAGAGGGTATTCTTTTGTGTCTAGCTTATTTTATCATTACCTTTGTGAGATACATTTAATGTTGGTACATACATTGCAATTTGTTCATGCAAATTGCTTTATAGTATTCCTTTACATGGGAAGACCACAGTATTGATTTATCCATTCTCTTATTGATGGACATTTAAGTAACTTTCTTTTCTTTTTTGCTTCTGTTATTTTTGATTACTTGTCTTTTGGTCAACACATGTATTATTTTCTTTAGGGTTTATACTTAGGAGTGCAACAGGATGGGTCAGGGGGTAGGCATATGCATGTGTTCAACTTTCCTAGGTACTACCCAACAGGTACCAAAACGGCTGTACCAATCTACACGACCAACAGCAGTATATAAGAGTTCCAATTACTTTACACCCTCATCAACCTTGGTGATTTCGTCTATTCTTACCCATTCATATTCCCTCATATATTCAGCCTGTCAACTTCTATAAAAATCAAGCTGGAATTTTGACTATATTGAAATGTATAGACCAATATGCAGAGAAGAATTAACAACATCTTTACAATATTATCTTCTACTCATATTATAAATGTACAATCCTCTGATTATTTAGGTCTTCTTTAATTTCTGTCAATTAGGTTATGAAGTTGCCTTACTGAATTTAAATTTACATAAATTAACAAGTACTGTATCAAATCTCTGATCCTTTGTGACATAAGCTGGGACAGAACTTATCTACAGAAGCCTAGAATAAGGCCAATACATAGGGAGAAGCTAAGAGGGACAGAAATCAGTGATCTAGTCCCTGACTTAAATCATTCCTGAGGCAAAATTCTCTGCCTTTACTAGATCTCTCCTTTAACTTTCTAAATGTGAATCTATAAATTCTTATTAAGTTTGCTTTAGTTGTTTTGAAGTCATTTGCAATGAAAGAATTCTAATACAGGTACTTCCCTGATGGTCCAGTGGTTAGGATTAGGCACTTTACTGCCATGGCTCTGGGTTTAATCCATGGTCAGAGAACTAAGATCCCACAAGCTGTGCAGTGTGGCCAAAAAATAAATAAATTAAAAATTACAAAAAAAAAAAAAAAGAGAGAGAGAGAGGGAGAAAGAGTTCTAACATAGACATCAGGGACACGGAATTGAAAGCACCTGTCAACTGGCTGAGTGCGAAAGTCAGGGAAAAGGAGTCATGAATGATGCCCAAATTTTCAGCTTGGGCAATTAAGTGGAAAGTGATGCTACTCATTGAGAGGCAAAACTGACTGGGGGCTAATAAATATGATTAGTACATATGTGTACAGACTGTGGGCCAGGGTATTCATATGAAGATGTCCAACAGGCAACAAGAGCTGCCCTTGCTGCTTTGGGCTGGAGTCAGCTGATGTGGGACACAAGCAGTAACCAAGGCCTGGGGCAATGGGGGCAGTCCACCGTGTTTGCACGAGACACGGGGCGTAACTCTCAGCAGCATACACACCCAAGGTTCCAGAAAGGGGCTCGAGGAGAGGCCAGTAGGAGGGAAACCGTAAGACTTCACCTGGCAGCCTTTAACACAAAGGACCAAAATTTACGTATTCCACTGTGCTATTATTTCCCTATGACATTCAGTGTAAAATTACTCTGAACGATGGCTGAAAGACCAGTTATCTTCATTTATGCTTTTTTAAAATCTGAGCTTTCCTGACACCTTATATTCCTTTCAACTAAAATAAAATCTACCCTACTTCTTTCCAAAGATTCACTTATACTATCTAAAAGAAATAACCTCTTTTCATCCAAGAAGCTGAAAGCTTGAAGATTTTACAAAATAAAACTTGGAGGGCAACTGAGGAGGAATATGATTTTTTTTTTTTTGGAATGTGATGTTATTTAAGAGTAAAGCAAATATGTCACAGGCTTTTTAAAGCCATCCTATATCTCTGGATCCCTCTGAAAGCCTGTCAGAGGGAGGACATTTTCTGAGCCATATGAATGCAGCTGCAATGCTAACCTCATTCCTTTCTTACAAGTTATAGCCTGCTCCACACCAAAGGATTAGCACTATTCCACAGCAACTATAAATGCTGTAGCATTTTATGTAATAATCCCACAGACATAATTAAGACCAAAAAACTTCTCACTGCATGTTTTTTCAGTTATGTCGGTCATATTCCCGAGGTTGAAGTTTTCCTTTAGATTTTTTAAACTTTATAGATTGAACAAAATAACATTTTGTTAAAGAAGAAGCCAAGCAGAGCGTGTAGTCTTAATTTTGAGATTAGCTACCCAACTACTTCAGCATTTCAGTAGTACAATGTATCTGAAACATCACTGAAAGTGGCTGAAGCTGCTTGACCACGTTTACCTTAAAGGCACCATAAATAAGAATGCTTAGAGAAGGCAATGGCAACCCACTCCAGTCTTCTTGCCTGGAGAATCCCATGGTCAAAGGAGCCTGGCTAGCTATAGTCCATGGGGTCGCAAGAGTCAGACACGACTTAGTGACTAAACTACCACCATCATAAGAATGATGACAAATCAGCAAATCTGATGAATTTGGTCAGCTGGTACTCTCCTGAAACCTAAGAATATGCAACATACTTCCAAGGACTTGCAAAACAAAAAATGTATTCTAAAAGATAAATACCCTAATTCAAAATTTTTTACCTTTATTTCTGCTCCTTTTGATTTTTTCTGCCAATCCCAGACAGTAAGCATGTGCTCATTGGAGTCATCGATAACACATAAATGAACACCTGAATCCTAAAGAAAAGTCAGTTTAAATAAGGCATTTAAAAATCTTCAGATAAGGCTTACTTTTTAAAAAGAAATACCATAATATGAAAACCACCAACATTAAGATAAATCCAAAATGTTTTAAACTCATGGTTCCTTGAAATATAATGAATATACTATTTACTGACTGTATTTTCTTCAGAAATATAATAAAGATTCTTAATTTTTTTTCATATTTCTAATTTTTCCCCGTAGGTTGATCTCCATTTGCTATCTAGCCACTTCCACTATTCAAAAATAGCAAATAATTAATTTTGAGGATAGTCCATTCTGCGTCTTAAAGTATTTTCTGCTTTAAAGTGTTCTGACTGCTTTTAAAGTATTTTCCTTTGCAGTAGATGTGAAATAAATGTAATTTTATAACTTTGGTCCTAAATTTCGGTAAATCTGTTGGAATAAGCTATGTGAGTTTGCCAATTTTAGTTTTCCATGATATTCTTGATTTATATTAAAATGAATAAACAAGATAAATAAAAACATAACTAAATTCCTTTCTATTTTCCTGTAACCATTTTCATTCACTAATTGATGCCTCCCAGAAAAAGAACTGTGGATGACATTAAGAGATTTTTTCTAGTAGCATTTGTAACATACACCTTATGATGTCTATGGAACAAAGAAATACTGTGGTGACAAGTGAGAGTACTGATGAAGGGCAGAGCTTATTCTCTTCTCTTTTACCCTGTACTGAAATGATTACCTAAACTAGGAAAAGTCAGCGTATGAGGCAATTCAAGATAATCTTAACACTGTAACAAAGGTATCAACAAGACAATAGTTACTGCTAGAGAGATTTTAGGGGGTAAAAAAGGTAGTAAAAGTATTTCCCCTCTCTCGGCTCGTCTCCTTTTCTCATCTCCTTTCTTCTAATTCCTGATTCATGAGAACCCTTGACATTCAGTGCTTGTAAGCTAGTAAAGTTCCTGTATCCACCCAAATTTATACTTCTGCTCTAAAAATGTCCTTTCCTCCTCCACATCCCACAAAACAGTCATAATCCATAATACAGCTGCTGATAGTTAGGAATTGAAGAGATAATGTGAATACATAAATATATTATAAAGAAAGAATGAAGCCCAATAAAATCTGGAGGGGTATTTATGTTTGAAATTAAAAATTATGGATCCTAAAAATATAGAAGTTCTCCTGTACGGTCTATAACAATTACATATAGTTCAAGAATGTTTAAATGAGCAATGTCTTATTTCATTCTCCCCAGAATAAAGCACCAAGACATAGGTTAAGAATGCTAGATGCTGAATTTTAAACTTAAATATAAAATCATGCCGTCATCAATTCAGAACCAAAACAATTCATGGTTTTAGTGAGCACAAAGATCTGACTGTTTTCTTTGCTGCAACATGACATTAAGAAAAGACAATACTTGTGGCAGAATTGGCCAAGTTTCATGTCCGTAAAATTTCTAAATAAAATAGACCTCTATGATTCAAGCTGAATCAAAAACATATCGTATTACTTGCTTCAATTTTACTATGCTATGTATGCATTCCTTTAACCATTTCCTGCAATTACACTGGAATTCTATTTCAGGCAGAACAAAATAAGTATAATTAAGTGTAATATCCTGGATCTTATCTAAACCAAAGTCCTTTAGTATTTCAGTTAAAATGCTGGCCACTGATAAACAACAGCTAACATCTAATTTTTCAATTCAGTGATCACTTTCTATGAACACACACAAAACTGAGCGTAACGTCTTTTCTCTATCTTTGTGCAGCTGGCTTATTCCCTTAAAAATTGCTACTTACTGCTTTTGAAAAATCCAGGCATCCTACTCCACGTTCAAAAGTTCCAAGTCCAATAATTTGCAGTGTAGAAAGACTAACTGAATCCCACACTCTGACATGTGGTTGCAGGGGCTGCAAAAACAAGGGGAAAAATACAAGATAGCAGGACTTAACTAGCATTTACATAGATGAAGATACCACTCCTACAAGAACTGTTTGCCATCTTTAAAAAATAATGATGGATGGATAAATATCTAATAAAAATAGCCAGTACATTTACACATGCCCCCAAAGAATCTTGAGCAGGTATTTTCTTCTCACACTACAAAAATAAGGAAATGACAAAGTGATAATAGTAGCAGCAAATGATCTGAGTATCCTAGTATGTGCTATATACTATTCTAATACATCACACGCATTAATTCATTTAATTCTCACAGACCCTGGGGGTTAGGTGCTATTATAATCACCATTTAACTAATGGGGAAATTGAGACAGTTTTTTAAATTAATTAATTTTAATTGGAGGCTAATTACTTTACAATATTGTGGTAGTTTTGGCCATACATTGACATGAATCAGCCAAGGGTGCATGTGTTCCCCGCTTCCTGCATCCCCCTCCTACCTTCCTCTGGGTTGTCCTAGAGCACTGGTTTTGAGTGCCCTGCTTCATGCATGGAACTTGCACTGGTCATCTGTTTTACAGATGGTAATATACAAGTTACAGTGCTGCTTTGAAATAGAGATTTAAATAACTTGTCCATAGTTATCCAGCTATTAAAAGGTAGAGTCAGGATTCTAATACCAGCAAATCTGCACTGGAAATCCTGCTTTTTGCATTACTTTTATTCCTGAGAAAATAATACTTAAAAAAAAAAAAAAAAATCAGTGTCCAAAAAATTGCTAAGCAAACAGCCCTTAAACAGAATTTAGACCTGGAAGGAGTATTAAAAGTCATCCAATATAACCCCTCCAACTACTTTTCTTTAAGGAAACCAGGCAGAAAATGTTATTTAGTCATGTATATGCTAATCAGTCATCATTAATATTTACTGCTGATCCTTATTAATAAGGGATTTGTCATGTAAGCCAATAGTACTGAATAATAACTGTAAATTTTAAGTGCTATTTCTAGTCATATATAAAATCAATTATAAAAAATCATATATAAATCACAGATAAAATCATATGTAAAATATAAAATTAGGGATCCATCAATTTAGGATAATTACAGTACCTTCCAGCAGACTGATAAACTATTCTATGTTTAAAAAAAGAATTTTAACAAGCTTATCAGTTCTCCCATTCTTATAAGTAAATAGCTCCCTTAGGGAGAACACTTATTTTCTGGAAAGGAGTATTTTAGTGTGACTTTTGTTTTTTTGAATGTTATTACATTCTATTATTTTTTTCTCTGCTTCTACTAAAAATTCCTTAATAGTTAAATTTTAAGAGAATGAAATAAATGAGTTAGGGTTAATTACAATCAATCCCATCCTAATACCAATACCACCTGGTACAGAATGCATAAAACTGTGCCACTCACCCTTCCATCCTTATCCACTCCAGCGATCTGTCCAGTTGCAATCCTAATTTTGTCAGGATGTATAGCAAGGCTAAAAAGCAGTGTTAACAACAATTTTAAATACAGGAAAGATGTAAAACAGCAGAAACATGCCTCAGTATCAACATTTTTCAACAGTTTTTAATCATTAAAAAAACTCAATGTGACTCATTTGTTTTATTTTCCTTGGCTAATCAAATAAACATCAATTACCTATAGGACTTCTTTTCTAAGTTTTCATCAGTATATCTGCCTTCTTTGTTAAACTGAATTATTAGAACACTAAATTTGAAGAAAATATCTACTCATAATTGTGGCATGATAAATTTATCATGTATTCATGATAAAGGAACTTGTTTCTTTCTAGTCTTGCACCTAGACATATTCACATAGTTTTATTACTGTGAAGATGTAATATTACATTGTGAACATTTTAAATGTTGGAAAATAATGAATTTAAGCAATAAATAGAGAACATACATTTTTAATGTTTTTGGTATGTATTGCTCATTACTTTCCAGAAGAACAGTTATCAATTTAAATTGTTATAAAGAAATAAAAATGTTTTACAAATTCCACTACAACTTCCTCATATTAAGAATTATACCTTTTAACATGCCTTGATAATTTGGTTGGTATAAAAGATTATCAGTTTAATTTCTTTTATTATTAAAGAGGCTAGAGTTTATCAATATGGTGCTTTAACTAATGCTATTTCCTCTCTAATAGTTCATATTCTTTGAAAGAAAAATGAAAGTGAAAGTCGCTCACCTGTGTCCAACTCTTTGCGACCCCATGGAATATACAGTCCATGGAACTCTCCAGGCCAGAACACTGGAGTGGGTAGCCTTTCCGTTTTCCACGGGCTCTTCCCAACCCAAGGATCAAACCCAGGTCTCCCACATTGCATGCAGATTCTTTACCAGCTGAGCCACAAGGAAACCCAAGAACACTGGAGTGGGTAGCCTATCCCTTCTCCAGTGGACCTTCCTGACTCGGGAATTGAACAGGGGTCTTCTGCATTGCAGGTGGATTCTTTACCAACCAAGCTATCAGGGAAGCCCATATATCCTTTATTGAGATCAATTACATTAACAGTTAATATCTGAACCAAGCACATATATTACCTAATCCAGCAAATTTACTTTTTTAAATATAGATCAATTACATTGAGTTAATAAAAAATCTAACATTAACATTCTGCCATATTTAATTCAAATCTTAAACATTTAAAAGAGCAAAATTGCTGGATTAGGTAATATATGTGCATGGTTCAAATATCAAAAACTATAAAAACACATATGAAATTCTGCTAAAGTCTCATCTATCTGGCTATCATCCCTACTCCCTGTAACACCAGCCAGGTAATCACTGTAATCAGTTTCTTTTTATTACTAATTCTGGAAAAATTTTACCTATGTGAAAGTCAAGATAAATATTTATCTTCCACCTCCTTTTTTTACACAAATGGTAGAATACTACACATTTTCTTGTTCTTTTATACTTAGGAATGTATCTTAGCGATCTTTCCATTTAATACACAAACACTCTCCTCATTCTTTCTTAATTTTATTGAAGCATAGTTGATTTACAATGTTGTGTTAATTTATGTTGCACAGCAAAGTGATTCAGTTATATATTTTTTTCTTTTTTGCATTCATTTGCATTATGGTTTATCACAGTGTACTGAATATAATTCCCTGTGCTATACAATAGGACTGTGTTGTATATCCATCCTATATATAATAGATTGCATCTGCTAATTCCAAACTCCCAATTCTTTTCTCCCCAATCTCAGCAAGTCTATTCTCTAGTCAGTCTGTGTCTGCTCTTTTGTGTCATATTTTAGATTCTAAATACGTGGTATCATATGGTAATTGTCTTTCTCTTTCTGACTTACTTCACTTAAGGAGGATAATCTCTAATTCCATCTAACCTCATTCTTTCTTTATGGCTGCATGGCTGCATGCATACCACAATGTTACTAGTCTCCAGCTCAAAGTTATTCAGGTTCTTTCCAACCTTTACCATCAAAAATGATGTTGTAATAAGTAATCCTGTACATGTATTATTATTATTCTTCTAGTGAAAAAGACAAAATTTTAATCATCTCTAAAAGTTTAACAATATCTATATTTTAAGTCTAACGTATATTAATTTTTTTCTAGGTATAGATATAGTTGCCAGAACAGAAGATTTTAAATATTGGAAGATAATGAATTTAAGCAATAGGTAATTAAAGTTAACTTCAAAGTAGAAAATTGAGTACTTCAAAAACATGCCAAGCATAGAAAAGGAGTTCTCACATTTTTATGGTTCTCACTCTATTTTACAGTTTGATCCGTATTCAGCTATGATTTCCCTTTCCTCCCAAAAGTCTCAAGTTCAAAACACCTACATAAAATAAATTCTCAATAAATATTAAGTAACCAATAATCACTCTCATAAGTATGTAAAAGTCTAGTCTGCCACATATATCTGATGTTACAGGCCAGAGGAAAAAGTATAAGATCTAGGAAAGCAAAAGAAGCCCCCATCAAAATTTATAGATGATATGTTGCAGATACCTATTGATGCAGGTATCACACCAACTATTTTGGAGGCCTATAAGTCTTTTTTATTTTTGAAATCTATCTACAGGATGTCCATAATATCCTTAAATTCTCATTTTCCCACAAGAAATCATTTCCAATAAAAACCCAGCTTAATAAAATACAAAAATAAGAGCATGAAATTTTAAAAAAAAATATTAAATGATACCAACCATTTCACACAGTCTGTATGACCCAGGTAGTGCCGTTGAGTTCTCTCTTCATAATTAAATAGTACTACTACTGATGCTATGAAATAAACAATTTCCCCAGTAGGAAGAAGGTAAACATTAGCTCGACAATCCTTTCCTCGATAACCGTATCTTAAAAGAAGGAGTCAAGGTTTCAAACAAACGTAACTTTCAAAATGTTAAATAATTTATTAATGATATGTAAAGGAATCAGTATAATATAATAAAAGAAGACTGGACTGGAACTATAAAACTCATGTCCTGCCATTAGCCCTTGTGCAGTTCCAAGACTTTTAATATGCTTAAATCTTAGTTTCCTCATTCAACCAACAAACACATACTGAGCTCCTAATGTGTATCAGGCATAGAGTAGAACATGCACTTCTGAACAAAACAATGTGGGCCTGTGTCCCTGGAGTTCATGCTTTTCAAAGGTAACAAAAATTTACACCAGGTATATCATTAGAAATTGTGGAAGGAAAAACAACAGGATACTAGGAGAAAACATAAAAGGAGGATCTAACTTAAAACGGAGAAAGAAAGAGAGAGATCAAAAGAAGGGCTATTCGAGGGAATTTCCTGGACTTTAGCTGGACTCTGTGCTTTCACTGCTTAACCAGGTCTGATCCCTAGTTGGGACCTAAGATCCCACAAACCACATGGTGCAGCCCAAACTTTAAACAAAAAGAAGAGCTACTTGAAAAAGTGACACTTATACTTGACCTAAATGATGAATAAGAGATAGCCAGGCAAGTGGCATAAGCAGAGTGCCTGCTAAGAAAGTGCAGAATCACAGGATTGGTGAGTTTTCTCAAGCTAATTTCTGTCAAAAGGAGGGACTGTTTCAAGGAGTGGGAAAGGATGTTAAGAGAATGGAGGCAAAAAGCCAAGTTCAAACATTAAGTGTCTTCTGCTTCACTGAGAATTTCTTAGAATGTCTAAGAGAAATGAGACTTCCTAGGCGAAATAAGGAGCCCTGTTTCATATACTCATTTTTTTCTTAATGTCTGGTCATGAAGAAGTTAATTCTCAAATTAGAATCCATCTTGCTAATTTCAGCTCTTAATAAGATAATTCATGTTATTTCAAAGGTTACATATTATTTCAAAGGTTACAAAATGCTTAACCGATGTTTCCTTATTTAATTCTTAAAACGGACCTGTGAGGTAGGGATTACTGACCTCTTTTTATATCGGAAGAAGTAACGTTCATTGGGGGTAAGTGGCAGAGCCAAGACTCAAAACACCAGCCTTCCAATTCTAGTCTGATGCCTCTTTCACTACACCACAAGCACCTGCCTCGATGTCCATGGAATACTGCTTACCCTATCTGAAGATATTAATTTTGGTGCTTTTAAGCTGCTAACAGCAATATACACATAATATGTGAAAAGATTAGAGATGACACCTCTTTACTTTCTCGAGTGGTCACTGTTTATCATGTTTTACTTGACATAAAGACAATTTTGATAGAGGTCAGGTAAAGTAATTTTTCTTAAAGATAGAGCAAACAAATTTGCTGTCACAATAGAAAAGGATACACCCACTCCAGTTTGAGCTTCTCCGGAGGCAGTTCTGTTCTGATGTCATCATAGTTGTCAACATCAGAAGGAATGAACATTGTAATTGGTCGACCTCGCATAAACATTTTAATGTATTCTCCTTCTGTTGAAACACAAGAAAAAAATTAAGACAGATGTATTTGCTGAATATTCATAGAAAAATGGATTATTAATATGACATAATAAAAACAAGATAGAAAATAGCTACTTCAGAATTCTAGTCTCACTATATACAACTGCTTTTGTATAAAGACTTAGTTCAAAACATCAAATGAAAGAAAATCACTGGTCATTCCTTAACAGAGAAAAACTTTTCATAATTAAAATATAATTTATCTATAAGTTGACACATTTCAACAAGAAAGTCAGGAAAGTCGAGGTATAAAAATGCAAGAGAAAATAATTTTGTGATGGAAGGTTCTCTGACAATTGAAAAAAAGATTATCAGAGTACTCTGACAACAACCATGTCTGCCACACTACCTGATCAACCTACTGACATTTAATGACAGAGAAAAAAACATGGCCACAGAACGCACCATGAGTGGAGTCAGACACCCCCTTAAGTCAAGGAGAGAGAGAGAGAGACTAAGCACTGTTACAAAGCAGCGATCAGAGATGGAGGGAAAGATGACCCATGTTCTTCATTTCACAGCTGTGCCGACAATCAGCCTTGAGTTTAAGCAATTAAATTCAATTATAATACACTAAAATCTTAAAGACAGTGCTAGGAAATAGTTTTTTAGTTTGCAGCATAGGTAATATAAACATAACAGCACAAACATCTTTTATTTACATAAACTAATAGCTGCTTGTAAGATCTGCAATAGTCTAAAACTAAAAATGTTAAAAAGACAACTCTAGAATCAAACCAACATTTATAGTACACCTTTTACAAATGAAAACATTACTTAAGTGAACAGATCAGACTGTTTTTAAGTCTTAAGAAACAAAACAAAAACACCCATCCTTGGCTGACCTACATACAAGACAGGTTTAATAAATGTTGATGGTGGCTGTGAAATGTTTACAAAAGAACCTAAAAGAGAAGGAGAAAATAAGGGACTGAGTACAAATGCATAGCCACTGTCTAGAACTTGCTAACTTGTCTGTTATGATAGGAAAATCATGTTAGAAACAAAGTGTGATTATCAATCAAAGGTTGAATAAACCTCAGGACTTCTAATAATGAATGACCTAAGCTACTAAGGGGATGCGTAGATAATTCAATAGTTTATGTAACACAAACCATGAAAGCAGGAGGGAAAAAACCATTTGCTGAATGTTTGTAAGTATTTCTTCAGAGTCAGACTTAAATTGTACTTGCTATGGGTGAGAAGTTCAAGTTATTTTTATTATTATTACAGTGTGCTCAGCCTCAGGGTTTGATCTAACAGGCTAAGACCTCCCACGCCACAATTTTTTAACACCACATGATGTATGTCTCTATTACTTTTGAATCTAAGAGTGGGCTCTGTTTCCTGGACTTTGATGATAACTAAATGATTCAGTTATCAACTGTAACTATTTTCCTTCAGCAATCATCTTTATCTCTATCTCCCTGTCATTTTTTGTAAAGTCCACTTTCTTCTAGGTGTCAATTTGTTACATAATTTTCCCTCTAGTTGGGTTTTTTGTTTTTTTGGTTTTTTTTAAAGAAAATAAATCCTTAAAGGGAAATATCCTGTCCTGTGGAATTTCTTCCAAGGTCATCCACTGGTCAGAGGTGTACAGCATAAATGCTTTCTGAACGGAAAAAAATACTTCATAGATGTTTCTATTGCCAGTTAAAAGAGACTGTATATCCAGCACAGGGAGTGGGTTAGGACAGCATCAAAGAGACAAAATGCCCTCCTCTGCTAATAGGGGCTTCCCTAGGTGGCTCACAGGGTAAAGCGTCTGACCACAATGCGGGGACCTGGCTTTGTTCCCTGGGTCGGGAAGATCCCCTGGAGAAGGAAACGGCAACCCACTCCAGTATTCTTGCCTGGAAAATGCTATGGACGGAGGAACCTGGTAGGCTACAGTCTATGGGATCGCAAACAGTTGTACACGACTGAGCAACTTCACTTCTGCAATAGAGACAGCCAAGAAAACTGCACTGATGCCTTCAGCAACTGGAAAGCAGCACAAGCAACCAAGAATACGGAAAGCAGCTATAGCTATGCTTGCAAACTTTTCTAATATGATATAAAAATGGCAATGCATGTTAGGTGAAAATCTTTTTCCGGTCTATAAATTGGCTGTATACATGTTGGAGGCTGAGTATATATCTTAAGACACTGGGAACAATTCTGGAAACTGAGGGGGGCAACACATTATAGTGGAAAAGAGCATGAGCTTTAGAGAAACACTGTCTGGGATTTGAATCCCAGCTTTATCCTCCTCCTAACCATAAGACTCTGGCCTCATTTTCCTAATAAATAAAATACTACTACTACTTACCATTTGGAATTCTGATTGAACAAATAAGATATCACACTGTAAAGGATGAGGTCTTGACAAGTATATCTTTCTTTCCCTTTGGATTTGTAAGCATTCTAAACACTGTCTAGGATCTGCTTATAATACATGATTCAACACTCTATCATCTCTCTTCAAAAGCTTTAAAGTGACTGTCCACAGAACAGCAACTGCATGCAAATGAGCTAGAATTCTGAGGGTCCTATCTGGGTCACAAGTTCAAGTGTCTAGAGGCCCAGGCAGGAAATGCAAAGTGAGAGCCCTGGGAGCATATGGGATGATCAGTTAAAGTGGGGGCACTGGTATCCACCAGGCCCATCTTAGGGAGGCAACAACCTAACCTCCCTAATCAACCTCAGGAAAAATGTGGGCCCAGTGCTGTTAGAGCTTCTCATTTTTCAAGAGAAACAGAAAATCTATAATTTACTGTGAAGTCTCCCAATTTTTAAATGTTTACTCCTTTGCCAAAGAGGGAGAATATCATGTGAAAACACACCTTTGGCCTACATAGAGCTCACTAGTTTGCAAACTAAGAACAGAGTCTTTACCTTGGGAATTAGACAAAATATACAGATGAAGAACCTCTTTGCTCCTCAATCACTAGCGAGTCAAATTCTCACTGCAAACATTTTGAGTCTGTCAGGTTTCTTGACCTTATAGCTAAACAACTTAGTTGTTTTACCCAACTGCTACTTTCTGGCTGTCCTCATTGTACACCAGCATGAAAGTCAAGGGGAAGAGAGGGACCATGGGACTGCTCAAAAAAGAGTATGAGATCAAAAATAATTAATTCATTAAACATTAATTCATCTATTAATAAAGTCTGGTGGTCCAGATATGTGAGAAAAAGAAATGATTAAATTATCTCTTGATAACAGTAAACACAGCATAGGGCTATCTGTATTCAATAATGAAGCTGCTGCTTCCTGAAATGTAATTCATCTCAACATTTTATATATTTTGACAATGAAAATTCCTGGTACTAAGAGGGTGGCTATACAGTATAGTGGACAGAACGCAAGCTTTGTGATAAAGGCCATCCTTATCTGAACCTAAGCTTTATCACTTACTACCTTATGCTCAAATAAAATAAATATTCTTAATTAAATCTGATCAATGATAGATAGCTTAATTATAAAAGAAGAAATTCAGGGAATTCCCTGGTGATCTAGTGGTTAGAACTCGGTGATTTAATTGTCAGGGCCCAGGTTCAATTCCTGATCAGGGAACTAACATCCTCCAAGCCACATGGTGTAAAGAAAAATAAACAAACAAAAAAGAAGAAATTGTGTCAGATATTGTTAATAAATTTTATCAGTCCATTTCTCTAGATACATATAACGTTGGAACTGGAAGAAATCTTACAGCTCACCTAGTCCAAACACCTATTTTTACAGAAGGAGAAACCAAGGCTCAGAAAGGTCAGATGAGTTCCTAGACTGTGTCCCAAAATGTCTATTACTTAGAACTCGTGAAATATTTTCTTTCTAAACTATTGTTCTAGATCTGCACAATTTGAAACAAGAGCCATTGGCAGAACACTTAGAAGGCAGTTAGTGTGAACTGAGACATGCTCTAAGTATAAAATACACATGAGAGTTTGAAGATTTTGTATGGAAAAAAAAAGTAAAACATTTCCTTAATGCTCCTCCGCCCACATGCACGCCTCCCACCCCCCAGCTTCATGAAATGTGGAATCTTAGTTTCCTGCCCAGGAAGTAAACCTGTACCCTCTGCATTGAACACACAGCATCTTAACCACTGGGCTACCAGGTAAGTCACTCATTAATGGTTTTGTATATTGATCACCCATTGATATTCTGAACATACTGGATTAAATATATTAATTTTTGTTGTTGTTTAGTCACAGAGTTGTGTCTTGACTCTTTGCGATTCCATAGACTGCAGCCTGTCAGGCTCCTCTGTCCATGAGATTTTCCAGCAAGAATACTCAAGGGGGCTGCCGTGTCCTTCTCCAGAGGATTTTCCTGACCCAAGGATTGAACCCTCGTTTCCTGCATTGGCAGGTGGGTTCTTTACCACTGAGCCACCAGGGAAGCCCAAACTTACCTTACCTGTGAAATTTTCTTTTTTAAAAATGTTGCTATTAGAGCATTTAAAATTATATGTGCTTTATATATTATATTTTCATTGGACAGTACTGTTCAGACAGTGATGAGGTCCTTAGGCTGCATAAGTCTAATTACCTGATAATGTAGCTTACTTATAATCCAAATAGTATTAGCTTGAGCCCTGAATTCCCAACAACAGGAAATCAGAGTACAAGAGAAGAAAAAGATGTTTCTGCTCTATTATCTTTTGGAACAGTAAATGTTAGACAAAAATATGAAATACTGTATTTCTGTGTCCTTCATGCACACCTCTTAGTCCTCGCCCTTCAGTCTCCTCACGTGCTGTTAACTCTTCTACTTTAGCATCTCCCCTGTGCTGTCTTATCTTCCAAAGCGCTCCACGTTGCGAAATGATCTTTATATTCCCTAATCCACACTTTCGGGGATAGTTACTCTCAGGTGTTCTGAGAAAAGTACTGCTGAAATGATTCATATTGATATAAACAACTGGTTATCAATATTATATGCTTAAAAGATGCTCATCAAAATTTATTAATCTTTCACAGGTT